GGCTGGTGAGGATTCTGCCCCTCCTCGCTGGCGTTTGTTTACTTTCTTTCCCTTGGTCGCTCCCCGCAGTTGACTGATTCTGTCTGTGCCTCTTTCCCCCTCCCCGTAGTTCTAGCGACTGCGACGATAGCTCGCTGAGCTGGAACCCCACAGATCACCAACAAAAATGAAGGTAAGTGGAGTCAACGCTGCCCCGATCCTCGCGCCTTGGACACTGCCAGTCGTAAGGCTAGTGCCGTGGAATGTCATTTGTTTTGCTCCTCAAAATTGATGTTCCTACTGATCAGCAGTTTCGGCATAGGAGGATGTGTTGAATGGGTGAGAAATGATCTGTGTGTCTAAATGCGGAGTTTGGGCCCTCTCTGTGGCAGTACTTTGGAAAGGCTGGTGCAGCCTTTCAATTGTTGTCCATTCGGATAGTATTTTTAAACACTTCCTGTGTTGGCAGCAACCTTTGCAGAAGTAAAGCTTTTGTCCTGCTTTGGTTCTTTGGGGGATTTTTCGAAAATTTTTTTCTTCCTCAGTGCCAATGCGATTTTGTAAAAGAAAGAGTACGTGGATTAAGTAATTAAGTAAAGAAGGTGTCATTTCTTCTGTGTGTAAAGTGAACTTATGTGGCTAAAATATTTGAAGTTGGACTATAATAATAGTTTTAGTTAAATCTTTCCAGTAAATATTTTAAAACATATACTTATTCTAAAAAGATACATATTCTACTGAGGATGACTGCAAATATCAATATGTGGATAGTTAAAGGGAAAGGATCTCATATAGCATTCTTGAATGCTGTGGCCATTGAATGTTTCAGGTCAGATTTTTATTTGCCAAAAGCATTCCTATTCAATTTGTATTTTTTGTAAACGTTCTTAAAAGGTAGCCAATTCCTGTCTTGTTTACTGTTTCAGTATATTAAGCTCTGAAATATAGCATTTTCCCAAACTTTCTCATGGTTTTCTATTTTCTCCAAGTAAATGACATATTTAACCTTCTTTAATATTACTTGGGAAAACTTAGTAGAAAACAAAAAATCATTTTCTACTTAAAAACGTATCTCCAAAGTGTACACTGTTAACTTTGCACTTAACAATGTTAAGTTGAACTTGTATGAATACACTTTAACTTCTGAAAAAAAAAGGTAAAATGACAGATTGAGATAGCAATCATCCTGTTACTGTAAAGATTAAAATGAATGGTAGAGTGGAATTTCTTGCGTCATTCTATGTATCATTCTGGTCATGTCCATTTGCTGAAAGTAGATGTTTCTTAGTAACGCTTGTCTTTTTATACTAAGAAGATCAGTGTGGTAAACTAGGTATGTCTACAGGTCTTGAACCATCGGTTCATATCTGCATTCCAGCTGAATTCAGACTTAAAACCTTTCAAATGCAGCTTTTAGCAAATGAATTTTCCAAATCGATACTCTCCTTATGAAAAGATGTTACCTTTATGTACCTTTGTCAATAAACAATTATATATTGTTAGTGTTAATGTTAGTAGCAATATTTATTTTAATTAATTTGAAAAATTTCAGGAAGCTATAAATGAATAACTTAGTTTTATGATATGTGTAATATGAAATATTTTTTCTGATTTTTTTATTTTTCTGCTTATATAAATAGAATTTTTGAAAAATTTTGTATCTGGAAAAAAGCATTATATTTACTCACTGATAATTTTGAATTACAACTTTAAAACATTTTATCATATCAGGACATCAGTCTATAAAATGAAAGGTTGCTTATCAAGTGTTTGCTTTCGGGTATTTTTCAAATTTTCAATGATATTAATAAGCAAATCATTTTGTTATTTTTCATGCTTCAAACACAACCTTTTAATGAGACTTGAAGTTAGAGCAGGGAGGCATAGTAATGACATTCACAGTTTATGTTCCTTTCACCAGGCGGCGGATGAGCCTGCCTACCTGACAGTGGGAACTGATGTCAGTGCCAAGTACCGGGGTGCCTTCTGTGAGGCAAAAATTAAGACTGTGAAAAGGCTGGTGAAAGTTAAGGTAATATTTGTTTTTATGCAATAGTTTTATTAGCTGTAGATTGAAGAAATTTGAGGAGAGAGAGACTGCAAATCAGCATTTTATTGAGTCATTATATGCCCTTTATATACTATACTTACAGGAAAAAAGCACATCAAAATTCAAGAAATAAAGAACTCAGAAGGAGAAATTATTCCAAAATGCTACCACCAAAATACCATGCTCATGATATTTCCTGTCATTTGGATCTTAACTATTTGTGGTGGCATACTTGGACTATAATCTATTTTCTCCCCTCATTAATGTTCAGGTAGAGACAATTTCAGTGTTTAGGACAATATAAATAACAACAGGAATTATGTTTTCAAGACAGTGTAAAAAAGCATTAAAAAAGTTTATTTTGGGGCTGGGCATAGTGGCTTATGCCTGTAATCCCAGCACTTTGGGAGACTGAGGCGGGTGGATCACCTGAGGTCAGGAGTTTGAGACCAGCCTGACCAACATGGTGAAATCCCGTCTCTACGAAAAATACAAAAATTAGCTGGGTGTGGTGGCGGGCACCTGTAATCCCAGCTACTCAGGAGGCTGAGACAGGAGAATTGCTTGAACCCGGGAGGAGGAGGTTGCAGTGAGCCAAGATTATGCCATTGCATTCCAGCCTGGGCAACAGAGCGAGACTCCATCTCCAAAAAATAAAAAAATTAACCTGGCGTGCACATCTGTAGTCCCAGCTACTCGGGAGGCGGAGGCAGGAGAATCGCTTGAACCCAGGAGGTGGAGGTTGCAGTGAGCCGAAATCGCACCACTGCACTCCAGCCTGGGTGACAGAGAGAGGTTGACTAAAAAAATATATATATATTTTTGACTGTGCAAGGTGGCTCACACCTGCAGTCCCAGCACTTGGGGAGCCTGAGTGGGGGGATTGCTTGAGCCAAGGAATTCAAGACCAGTCTGGACAACATAGTGAGACCTGATCTGTCCAGAAAAAAAAAATTAAAAAATTAGCCAAGTGTGGTGACAGGCACCTGTGGTCCCAGCTACTCTGGAGGCAGAGGTGAGAGAATTGCTTGAGCCTGGAAGGTCAAGACTGCAGTGAACTGTGATTGTGCCACTACACTGCAGGCCAGATGACAGGGCAAGACCCTGTCTCAAAAAAAAAATTTTTTTTAAAGATGCTTTTACTCAGAAATAACTTTTTTTGGTGATTCCTGCCAGTCATTTTCTTATATGAATATATTTTTAATAGTCTTTATTACTTTATATGAAATATAAAAGTAATCTATGCTTATTATAAACATTTTTAACATTATAGAGGCATATAATATAGTTCATGAAGTCTTAAAAAATTTTATTGAAGTTGATTAATAATTTCACATATTCATTGGCTACAGTCATGTTTTGATACATATAATATATAGTGATTAAATCAAAATAATTTGCATATCCATCATCTGAAACATTTTTCATTTATTTGTGTTGGGAATATTCAGTATCCTCCTCTTAGCCATTTGAAACCATGTAATATAGCATTGTTAACTAGTCATCCTATAGTGGTGTGGAACACTGTGAAAGTCCTTTTTGATATGACTCCAAAGAGATTTGATGTGGTCTTCCAGATTTTTTTTACTGTGCCAGTCGTAAAATTATTGTCATTGGTATTGGATCATGCTATATTGCAGTTTGCTTTATTCACTTATATATCTGATGTTTTCCTACCAGAATTAAGCACCATAAAAGGAGGAAACGTCTGACTTGTTCTATGCGCAACACATAGAGTAGTGCCTGATACATAGTGGACACTCAAAATTTGTTGAATGAATCAGTGAACTAGAGCAGTGATTCCTAAAGTGTGGCCCCAGACCAGTAGCATCAGCCTTACTTGTTCCAAATGCAAATTTTCCCCACCCCAGATCTACTTCATCAGAAACTCTGGGGGTAAGATCCAGTAATTGTATTTTAATAAGCCCTTTAAATATTTCTGATGCATGTTAAAAGTTTAAGAATCAGGCTGGGCACGGTGGGTCATGCTTGTAATCCCAGCACTTTGGGAAGTCAGAGTGGGCAGATCACTTGAGGCCAGAAGTTTGAGACCCACCTGGCCAAAATGTTGAAACCCCGTCTCTAGTAAAAATGCAAAAAATTAGCCAGACATGGTGGTACATGCCTGTAATCCCAGCTACGTGCGAGGCTGAGGCATGAGAATTGCTTGAGCTGGGGAAGTGGAGGTTGAGACCCTGTCTGGGGGGAAAAAAAAAAGTTTGAGAAACATTGACTAGAGGAGTGTGATTTGTAGGGTAAATAGATGTATCTATGATTATTATAAAACTTACGTTTCAATTTTCTTGATGAACCTTCAAGTATTATTAGGATAGGATGTCAATTGACATTCATTTCTTTTTGTTTCATATAGTGTTTTTATCATGTCAGCTATATAGGATTTGATTACTCTATATTTATTTGGGATTCTTTAGCAATTCAAATTTGGTATTAGTATTGTGTGTGTGTTCTTATTTACTTAAAATTAATACAATGATTGTTTTAGGAGGTCTTATCATGCATTACCTAGATTCTGAATTTATTTGGACCATCTGTTATTTGGACCATAGTAACCAGCCATCTATTATGGATGGTTACTCTGTGTATTTAGATGTGTAGTAGAAGGGAGCACTTGTTTGTATCATTGCATATTATGATTATTGTTTAGCTTCACTTTATAAAGGATCAGAGTTGTGGTTTTAATTTGTTTACCTTTCATATAGGCAATACAGTTTGATACTTTTTTTTTTTCTTTGTGTACTTGGTGACAGTCAGAACCTTTTATGACTTGTTGATAAAAAGCAATAAAGGCAGTTTTTTTTTTACAGTAATCACTACAGATTATTATATAGTTCATTCAGTAAACAGTTATTGAGTGCTGGTAATATGCATTGACACTTGCTAACTGTTGGGGATATAGCAGTGAAGGGAGGACTCAGCCCTCAAGGAGCTCACAGTTAATAAGAGAATGTAGTAAGTATTATAGCAGAGGTCACCACAGCATGCTAAGAAAGCATAAAGACATTATTGTTTCAGTGTTACTGTAAATGTATTTGTTTTAAAAGTAATATGCAAATTATCGTGCAAAATGTTTTTCAGGTACTCCTGAAACAGGACAATACCACGCAATTGGTACAAGATGACCAAGTAAAGGGTCCTTTAAGAGTATGTATGTTGTACAGTTTAAAATCTAAAATGATCATAGATTTATACCATATTTACTGAATTTACATTTCTACATAGACTTAACATTTATGAGAACGTTAATCAGAAAACAATACATATGAAGGGTTTAAATATAATTAGTATAAATTATGATATTGCAATGGCTGTATTCTAAGTTGTAGAACACTAAACATCTTTTAGAAGGGTAATTTAATATATATAAACATGTTAAGTTTTTCACCTACCTTTCTGTTTTGAATTCTTGAACTGAATACCTGGCTTTGTTTTTCAAATTGTTGCTGTATCTGAGGTGATGTTTAGCCTTCTAAGTTGAGTATCATAACCATCAATCTTCGGTTGTTCTAATTTACCAAGCAAGCTATATTCACTTCCTAATTCAATTTAATGAATACCTAGATTATGTTTTCCAGCCATTTCTGGCCATTTGTTTATGTAATAAATCTGTTATATCAGAGTACCATTTTGGTTAATATCTGATATACAAAGGTCTGGAAACTGAAAGAAGGTCAACTGGTCCATCCCTATCTCTCCAGGTGAACCTTTATCTAAAAGGTTCCTTAAATACAAATGCTGAATCCAATATTCATATTTCTGTGAAAGAAAATTGATGCTATTTTGGTGGTCTTATAATTTTACAGTTCTTCTATTTAATTTTCTTGAAGTCAGTGTGATATAGTGGAAGAGCTCTAAAGTAAGATTTAAGAGACTGGGCTGTCATGCTGGACTCTGCAAATTATTTTCTCTTTCTGAACTGCAATTTTCCATGTGTAAAGTAGGGGTAATAATAGCTACCTAAATTTTGTCAAAGTGTTTTGGGGCTCAAATTGCATAATACATAGATAAGTACTATGAATGATAAAGATCTAAGACTGTGTAAGATAGAATTATCATAAGGATGGTATTTATTTTTCTTACCTAGATAATAGAGTTGGTGGAAGTGATTTGGTTTATTTGTTTAAATTTGGTAAGGAAATTTGGATTTCACGTTTTAGGTTGGAGCTATTGTTGAAACAAGGACATCTGATGGATCTTTTCAGGAAGCTATTATCAGCAAGTTGACAGATGCTAGTTGGTATACCGTGGGTAAGTAATTAAGTAATTTAACACATTTAACACATAGATTTGATTTGGACTTTGCATGTATCTGTGTTTTGTGGATAGACCAAATCATTGTGTTGGTGGAGAAATATGTATTATTTCCTATCAGTTTACTGGATATAGCTGGCTAAAATTCTAAGAATGTCCTGTAGGTAACAAAAATAATTATCTCTTACAGTACCTTGGCCACTTGTGTCTATTTCATCCAAGAATGTACTTCTATTTTAGGTTATTTTAATGTTTCTCTTCAAGAAGGTTAGATCACATTATTGTGATCACTTTTTCTATAATTACAATTAAAATTCCATAGTTGTGATCTTTATTGTATTGCTACATATTTTATATAAGGGTAATGTAGATGTTGCCAGACAATTTACAGATTTAAAAAATCCTGACCACAGTAGATTCAAGAATAGGTGATTGTAACTTAGTTTTTGATTTTTGACATAGTGTGGGTGCTCATATTTACAGCTTTCAAGGTCGGATACGGTGGCTCATGCCTGTAATCCTAGCACTTTGGAAGGCTGAGGCAGGTGGATCACTTGAGGTCAGAAGTTCAAGACCAGCCTGGCCAACATGGTGAAACCCTGTCTCTACTAAAAATACACAAATTAGCTGGGTGGTAATGGCGCATTCCTGTAATCCCAGCTACTCAGGAGGCCGAGGCATGAGAATCGCTGGAGCCTAGGAGGCAGAAGTTGCAGTCAGCCCAGATAGTGCCACTGTACTCCAGCGTGGGTGACAGAGTGAGACTCGTTCTCAAAAAAAAAACAAAAAGCAGCTTTCAAGAAAGATATAGATGTTCCTAATATGAATGCATTCTTAACATTCCATTCATAATCTTATACTGGCTTTAGATAACTTTATTGTATTAATAGTAAGAAGCAACAAGTGTCATAATACGTGTAAGTTAAAACCTAAAAGTAGTACTTAAATAGTTGCTGTCATTATGTTGATGAGAATAGCATTAGGTAACATTGTCAAATCTCCTCTCCGTACTTTCAAACTACACAGTCCTGTGGATAACATCCAATCTATAGCATTGTTGGTTTTTATACTTATTTCTTCGTTTAAGAGGTATAATTATTTTGTGGTTTTCTTGTAGAAATAAAAGAAATGACCATTTAGGTTTACTTTTAGTTTACTTGATTTGTTGCTTTGGGTAAAAATCATTCCAGTTGATGCTCATTGTTGTGAAGAACTATGCTTTGGTTAAAAATGTCTCCGTCTTACCCTGTGCCTTCTATTAGTAGTACCAGTTTGCTATGTGTAACTACTGTTTTCGAACCTCTTTTATTCTTCCTGTACTTGCTAGAATTTAGTGTTGGTTCACAGTGGTGCTATTCTGAACTACATATTTTTAGGAAGCTTAGTTGTGGCTATTGATATTTGTTAAATATTTAAAAACTAAGTGGCCGAATGTGGTGGCTCACACCTGTAATCCCAGCACTTTGTGGGGGCGAGGTGGGTGGATCACTTGAGGTCAAAAGTTCGAGACCAGCCTGGCCAACATGGCGAAACCTCGTCTCTACTAAAAATACAAAAATTAGCTGGGTGTGGTGGCAGGCGTCTGTAATCCCAGCTACTCATGAGGCTGAGGCGGGAGAATCGCTTGAATCTGGGAGGCAGAGGTTGCAGTAAGCCTAGATCATCCCATTGTACTCCAGCCTGGGCAACAAGAGCAAAACTATCTCAAAACAAATAAAAACTAAACTTAATGTTAACTCTTAGAGATTAAGTAAATATACCTTTGCTGTATTAAACTAAGACCTGATAAAAATTACAGGTGTGTGTAGAATCACTGGAAAATATATGATGGATATTCGGATACTAATATTGCATATTATATTGTACTCACTATAAAGGTTGTACTCACGTTACTTATGAAGCTTTACTGATAAAATGCGTGTGCTCTACAGAAGGGTTACTTTTCAAGTTTTCTCATTTTGGGTTTCTTTATCCCAGAGTAGTTATTCAATTATGAATAGCAACCTTTGTCCTCTACATGAGTAGCATTTTAGTGTTTCTAAAAACTAGTCACTACTAAGCATTCTCTATGGTGATTTTCTGTGTTGGATAATTACAGAAGAAATTGTATAATTCTTGTTCTCAAAGAGCTTTAGAATCTTAATTGCATATAATTGAGGTATCAAGCATTAGTGTACATAAGAATCACTTGGTGCTTGCTTAGAAAAATGAGGATTTGAGGACGCCAAGCCTCTCTAAATAGTAGGCCTGGGGTTGGCAATACAAGAATGTTTTAGTAAGCATGTCAGTGATTCTGATGCAGGTAGTTCACACTTATAAAAACAGGGAAAAACAGATTTATTTGGGAGACAAATTCAAAATATTAAAGATTTTTGCAGTTACATGCATGAAGGAAATTCATAAAAAGATTTTGAAAGGTACTGTTCCATTGAGAAAACTCAAGATAGCACTGCTATGAAGAACATTTAGTTATTGAAGGAAGTGGATCACATAAAGAATGATCAGAGTATAATGACCTAAGTTATCAGTTGATTTAAAAAAACAGTAAAATGAAATGTAAACCTCTTGGCTCATGAACATCCTGTATTTTTCTTTCAGTGAGTACCCACTACCTATTGGGTTTAATTGCTCTTTTCTGGAATTTTTCTTGATTTCTAGTTCCTAGCAAAGTATTATGTGGGTATAATCAGAAAATTATTCAAAGTGTTTATGACCTCCATTACCTTTTTGGTTTCATGAGATACCAGAAATTATGTCAGATTATTAAAAATAAGAGGATACCACATTGCTGGTTTGGATCAAATAGGAGTTATGATCATTAGTGATCTAAAGTTATCATTAGAGTCAGTGATAGCAACTGCTTCTTACATAATATGGGTATCAATTTCACTTCTGTTAAACTTGATTAACCAATTTTGAAAGAGATTATGGATATAGTATGACTCAGTTTTTAAAATATCTGGTAATATCTTACCCTCTGATGGTTTATTTCTTTGGTTGTTTGTTTGTTTTTGTTTGTTTGTTTTAGAGGCAGGTCTTGCTCTGTTGCTTTTGTTCAGTAGCACTATCATAGCTCCCCGCAGCCCCGAATTCCTGGGCTCAAGCAATCTTACCGCCTTAGCCTCCCAAAGTGTTGGGATTACAGGTGTGAGCCACTGCTCCCGGCTTCCCCTTTAATGTTGAACAGTAAACAGTACCAACTCAAAGGGATTTTTTGTTTTTGTTTTTGAGCAATAGAAATATTTCCTCTTCTTACCATTCCTACCATAGTTTATTCATTGATAGTTCTTATCCTTGCCATTAAAGATAAGGAATCTGTAATATATGGAAGTGTGTTACCTGTTCAGTCATTCAAAAGGTGTCAAATTGAGCCAAGATATGAGCAGATGAATGGGCTCTATGAGAGATTTGGGCTGGTTAGAGCCCAAATCTCTAGTTATGTTTAAAGAAAAAAGGAGGCTGGGCGCGGTGGCTTAAGCCTGTAATCCCAGCACTTTGGGAGGCCGAGACAGGTGGATCACGAAGTCAGGAGATCGAGACCATCCTGGCTAACAAGGTGAAACCCCGTCTCTACTAAAAAATACAAAAAACTAGCCGGGTGACGTGGTGGGCGCCTGTAGTCCCAGCTACTCGGGAGGCTGAGGCAGGAGAATGGCGTAAACCCGGGAGGCGGAGCTTGCAGTGAGCTGAGATCCGGCCACTGCACTCCAGCCCGGGCGACAGAGCGAGACTCCGTCTCAAAAAAAAAGAAAAGAGGAATTAATATGTCCAGTTAAATGTTGCCACTAACTCCTGGTGAATACAACTGTCAGTAAAACATTTTGAAGGTACTCTATATTTTGCCTTTTTGTAATATGAAAACATATACTTGAAAAACAAGGAAAAGGTAAAGGATAAAAATTTCAGTAATTCTAGTAATTAACTTTGAAAATGTACACACACACATCATTTATCAAGTTTAGCACTAAAATCTATCATCTATATTAACATGTTTTTGTAACAAGAAATGCTTAAGATTCAGATTATTTTGTACTTTGTAGTTATTGTTTTGAACATTGGTTATATCAGATTTTGTGTAAGTTCTAGTTAATATTGAGTAGAGGAGGTTTAGAATCAACTGGTGAATTAATTAAATTTTGTAGAATGTCCTGCAGGTTTATAAGGTTTTTAATGTAGTCAGACTTTTTTATGACAAATGTTATAATCAAAATCAACCACAAAATGTTTTCAAACCCAGGTGGCTATTCTGACTAGATTATTCATTAAGAAATAAAGTAGTGGCTAGGCGCGGTGGCTCAAGCATGTAATCCCAGCACTTTGGGAGGCCGAGACGGGCAGATCACGAGGTCAGGAGATCGAGACCATCCGGCTAACACGGTGAAACCCCGTCTCTACTAAAAAA